ATAGTGAAAATAAATATGAGATAAGAAGCGCAAATAGAATTTCTGGAATAAACACAATGATCATAATAATTTTTGTTTCCCACACCCTTTATTCTCTTCCAGACAGCAGGGGACCAGGAAGGACTTAACAAACTCCTGGCGGACCTGAACGTGGAGGACGGGAAGGGCGTCACATTCAAGGATTTTTGGCGATTGGTTGATTCTCTGGCCACTGCTCAGTTTAGATTGCAGAGCAAAGAGAAACAAGTGAAATGTGTGAAATGTAGTCTGATGTAAGACCGACCCTGAGCAAACCAGTCCGATCAACATTACGTGGTGTCCACCACAGCCCTGAGAAAACACGTCCAATCAGCAGCTTCTATTACCCATCACTCTCTGCAATACTGTACATGTCACTCTGTTGGTCATTTCGGTAGGTCTTATCATAATTAAGTGTTGTTACAGAGCTTCCTGAATGAATACCCAACAAGCCCTTACGACACAGACTTCATGACATGAGTAATCTCTACCATGCAGATAACCTAAGATCTACTGACTAATTTACTTCCTCATTTGTTCTGGTGCTGCAGGTTTTTTGTATTATTGTGTCACTTTCAACCTGCCCAATCACTTTTTTTTTCACGTTTGTTTTTAATATAAAAAATAGGAAATGATTTGTTATGTGTTTAATGTGACAAATGTGATCATATTTTATATAACTGTGGGCCACATGTCTGTTTGTTCAGACTGACATGCATTGCAAAAGAGATAATGTTAGTAATATATTGTAGAGGGAAGTAGAGATGTGACACCACATATTCTGTACTGTATTTGACTTTATGGTAACATAATGTGATTATCTTTGTTGATACTATTAAATATATGCTAAAGGTTTCTGAGTCTGAATAATCTATAAAGTCTATAGGCGTAATGATTACACTCTTAAAATTGATATAGATGGTCTTTATTGATCTACTTACTACTTACTAATCCTGATGTTAAAGTGTCCCAAAGACCATTTTAATTTCTATAAAATATATCAAAAAGCTATCAAGGTGAAACTTCATGATTATCTAAATGGAACCATAACTAACTAAAAAAAGTCTTGATAACAAAACATTCTACATCATGGGTTCTCAAAGACCCTAGATATAAAACATAAAAGTAATGCTGGAAGAGAGGATCTAAATGTATTTTTAATACCGTTATAAGTTGTGATGTAGAGAATACTGGTAGTCCAAGCCTCTCCTCGATTCAGTTGAGAATCGTAACAACTGTTTATGAACACTATTTATTCATATCACACATTTAAGCTAAACATTCATAACTTATGGTGTACACTATACAGACCCCAGGCTCACGGTGTCCAGAACACCAATATTCAGTCTGGACATCTGAGATTTTGTTATGGAGAAAAAGTTTTTTGATTTCTTTTATTGTATTGTTTTTTGTGCATGTGTTTTTGCTGGGGTCAAATTGACCTCAAACAGAAATAATGTTTTTCAGAACTAAAGATGTATGAAATGAAAAGAGGTTAATTGTTTTTACATATACATCATACCACGAGGGTTTAACTTAAAGTTCAAACATTAAAAAAAACACAGTTGCTGACATGGAGATAACAGAACAACGTGCCCTCTGTGACTTCACACATCTGTGATGCCTCAACGTTAGAGCGAGGAGCTCTAACCACAAAAGCACAACATCACATTGCTGGAAGATGCTGGTGCAACTAATGACGGTTTGTGGTTAATCACCTTTATGCTAAGAGTACAGATACTTTATAGCTTCTTAAAATTGGTACACCTTATTTCTCTCCTGTCTTTTGCTCCTCATTCATTTCTAAGATCCATTTATGTTCACTATTTAACAACTGATTTTTAAAAAGTCAGCTCTATTTGGCACATTTTTGTGTTCTGCTTTGTACTCTGGGCTGTTGTTACTCTGCAGCTCTGAGCATATGAGAACTTTTCTGGTCAAACTTGTTGAAAGACAATGGTACATTAATTCCTTGAAATAAATACAATATGAAATCATTTCTACTTTCACTTCCTCCATGTTCTCTTGTTTATATGTACATATCAGTCAGAGGTACATGATGTCTCATTAAGCTGCATATCTGCATACCAGTTCTAAGTGTCTTAAATGTTAATTTAATGGCTAAATGAAAAATAAACGTATATATTTGTAGAAGCAATAACTTGAAGTGACCATTTTCTGTATGACTTTATCAGTCTTTCACATCGTTCTGAAGGAATTTTGGCCCACTCTTCTTTACAGTGTTGCTCCAGTTTATTGAGGTTTGTGCACATTGTTTATGCACAACTCTCACCACAGCATTTCAGTCAGGATGAGGTCTGAACTTTGACAGGGTTTGCAACACCTGGTTTCTTTCTTTTTCAGCTGTTCTGTTGTAGATTTACTTGTGTGCTTGGGATCATTGTCTTGTTGCATGACCCAATCTTGGCCAAGCTTTAGCTGTTGGATGGTTGGCCTCACATCTGACTCTAGAATACTTTGGTATCCAGAGGAGTTCATGGTCGATTCAATGACTGAGAGGTGCCCAGATCCTGTGGCTTAAAAAATAAGTCCAAAATCATCAGCACTCCACCAGCATGTGTGACTTTTGGTATGAGGTGTTTGTGCTGATATGTGCCAAATGTGGCGCTGTGCATTATGGCCAAACATCCTCACTTTGGTCTTGTCTGTTCAAAGGTCTTATGGTTTGTTCAGATGCAACTTTGCAAACCTAAACCGTGCTGCCATTTAAAAAAAAAAATTTTTTAAGATAGAAGAGGCTTTCTTCTGGCAAGCCCTCCAAACATGCCATACTGGTCCCATATTTTTCTAATTGTACTGTTATGACTCATGAACTTTATCATTTAACATGTTATAGATAAAATCTATATGACCACCTGTTATATTATTTCTTTATTTCTCAGTCTCTTTGCACGGCTGTGGAAGGAGTAAGAAACACAGATGGAATCTCTGTCTGCAAAGAGTTTATTGTTTACCTTCAGAGTTTATTGTCCAAGCTTGTCCAGCTTTTATAACCAAATCCCAGCTTAAAATACAATATATAAGCTTTTATGTTTTCAAAGGATGGTGTAATGATCATCCAATGATAATATACATTACATCCTATAGAAATGTAATACCAAAACAAAGCTTTATATGGTAAAGAACAGACGTTCTGGAAACAGATATCCTCATCTGGATAATTCTGAATTTCCTTTTCTAGGCTGGTTTCCAAGAGTAATAAATGCATGAATTATATGCATAAATGCAAAAATGCATAAAATAATAATAATACAATACAGCAAGCTTGTTTAATATTGAAAGTAAACCTAAGAGAAAAAATACAATAATAAAATTATTTTTTATGATACAACTCCATTAAAGGTGATTGTGTCGCATAATTAACGTCTGTCTTACAGTCCTTTATCATAAATACTGAATTTTCTGGCACTTCCAAGAGCGTGCAATACATTAGACATACAGAAGATTGCACAAAAAACTGCTGAGGAGAACCAAACAATGAGTTGCCTTCGAAGAAAATATCTCTTACCTTCATAGAGTCAATTGCATAGTCCATATCAGTTGCATAATACACACCAATCCTGTGACAACTATAATTTATTGCAGTTTTTTAGGAAACGCAATTAATTTAGTGTTTCATGACCCTTTAAGACTGAATGTGTGAATCAAATATAAAATAAAACAAAGCATTGTCTTTGGCATTATTTAAACATACTTTAATTCTTATTAAAGCAACATAATGCATAATATTGACATATATCTGATTTCTTTTTCTATTGCATTTAACTCCTTTTAACATCAAGCAGTTTCCATGCTGTATTTTCTCATATTTTTATAACTTAAACCCAACAAAAAAAATAGGCATTCCTTCCTTTGCGGCTATATTTACATTTACAGACCTTGAGTGTGCTGCACTCAAGAAGAAATTTGCCTACAAATTCCTCTGTGATATGTGGTATAAGCTAATAATAATACGTCTATCTCTTCCTTTTGCCCAGAATGCTGCCAGGTGATTTGTGTTTGTCTGGAGCCTGATCCACAACAGAGACTTAATTAATGTAAAGCTAAATTTCTCCAAATCTGTTCCAATGAAGAACCAAACTAACTTGAATGGCCTGAGGGTGAGTACATTTTCAGCAAATTTTCATTTTTGAGTGAACTAAGAACACAAGGGAGTCTTCTATGTCAAGAACATGTATCAAACACCTTAGCTTTACTGCAATTACCTGTCCCACGTTCAATATATTTCCTAAATGTATTGAACATCTATTTAAGAATTAGTTAAGTTTGGCATTCTAGTTTCTCATCAATGCATCTACTCCTCCAAAGACAAATAGGCACACAGACTAATCTCTTTATGGAAATCCACCCACTCCTTCCAGAACATAAATCAACCAGGATCCGCTCTGTTCTCTACAAAGCTATAAATATAGGAAGGTTTTCTATTTCACTAGGTGGAGCATGCTGGAATATTCATCAATCTCCCCCTTTTGTGGTTGTGTCCTTTTGACAAATTAAAAGCATTGGAAATGTTAATACCAACTCCTTAGATCACAACTGGTGTTTGTAACATTTATTTTTAGACAATCCAGTGCATGTAAACGTTTTTTTTTTTTAATGTCTTCTAAAGTAACATTAAAAAAAATAATCCTACAACTACAGCATTTTTCTATTTAAATTGTTACAGGCCACAAATACTTTGACTTTCAAGCTGACATGAGAAGTAGGCTATTACGTTTGCCCTAAAGCACTTCCCTAACTTAAATATATTTACAAATTAAAAACACAGGAAAACGTTCAAAACAATACGTGAAAAGAATTCAACTGAAACCAAAACGAAATCATCTGTCACCTGAAAACTGGTACTGACATCCCCAAAAGTACCTGCATCTCACGTTGCGGTACCCACTTTGTTTTGTCAGAAGGACACGCCCACTACATGACGACCTAATGAATATTCCATATGGCCCCGCCCCACGCAACAGAAATGTTTTATGAACTGCATATTCAACGGCTTACCGTTAGATCTACGAATCCTACATACAATTACATGCGTAACGCGTCGAATTTCTCGCGAGGCATATCAAGATACACTTCGTCTGCTGTCAAGTTACACCTCTGTTTACATTAATTTATTTTCAAGAAACAGATGTTTGCCCCCGACCAAACAGGGCGTCCAGCGTCGCCTCATCCGGATTTAGAAAGAACTGTTTGCGGATGCTGCGCTGTTTGCAAAGTACACCTAAACTCTTCTGCAGACCACAGACTTCTGCCTTGCCTGCATATAGTTTGTAATACTTGCCTTACGAAGATCTGCACAGATGGAGCCACCCAAGGTGAGAACTCGCTTGTACTGTTCAGTTTGACTGGTGGTTTTAATGGGGCGTCCGCTAAAGTCCATCTGCACGTGACATTTTTAAAATCGCAGGTTTAATGACAGTGCGATTATTTATAAAATGGGTCTTAAAGTTAATGTCCGTGGTCCATGGCTAGGTTGTGTTTTCCATTATGGGCCAGATGAACAGTTACAATTGGCCCCGATATAACGTTTTTCTTATTCACATACTAAACAAACATTGTATATACTTTTTAAAATAATATTTTAGTGAAATTTGTAACATTTAATTACTTTTTATGAACGCAAAGTAATGATGCTGATCTAAAATCCCCTGAAATCGCAGTTTACTGACGTATTTCCTATCGATACAGGAAGTTTCAACGGGAAATATCAAAAGGCTCGACATTTATTTTATTTAAGTTTTTTTTAAATGGCCACTGCACTGTGTGTGAAAATAGAAACGCTGCTTTCTTTAAAGGTGGGGTAAGCGATTTTTCAAAAACGCTTTAGAAATGCGCTAAAGTCACAGCTAAAGTCTGTCTAGTACACTGGACGCGTCAAAGCGACCGTTGAAAATCATTTGAAATTTGTGTCAATACGTCATAAATAGAATGCAGCAGCAGTTTTCTGTTGAGGATTTGTCGTGTCGTGCCGCGCCGCATCCAGTGTAGACCATAGATATGTATATATATATCTATAGTGTAGACAGCGTCACTGATTATAATGAGTTCCATAGTATTTTGTCACGCCGCGCCACTCGCGTCCGGTGTAGACACGGTGTAACATTGGTTTTGCTTTGTTTCACAGAACTAATCGTTGCCTGAGTTGCGTACGTATGTGTGGGGTAGAGCTATTAAAATAGGGGCGAGACCCTTTTGGGGTAGGGGCGTGTTTGTTTTAGTGATTTCAAATGTCAACATTGGCTACCAGAAATCGCTTACCCCACCTTTAATGTCATGACGAAATTAGTGTCATGTTTACAATTTCATATGGAATATATTACTTTCAATAAAACCAAATGCAAGTACATTTCATTTTGATTATATTTTACTAAGGTTTTTTTTTTTCATTATGCATGTTAAATATAATTTACATTGATATTAAGTAATACCACAGTTCATCCCTGAAAAAACCTGCATTTTTCAATAAAATGTCATTTGTTCAAATCAGTTCATTTTGTTGATAAAACTGCCAAGCAAACAAGGTGTATAAATTCTGCTACTCTAAAAATTCATTATACTTTAATAAATGACTCGTGGTTTCGTCAAGGCTTTCTAATCAACAGCAACATGAGTAGTTAGAATTTAATGACATAGCCCAGTGTTTCTCAACCCTGGTCCTGGGCGCCCCCCAACACTGCACATTTGTGTGTCTCCCTAATCAAACACACCTGATTCAACTCATGAGCTCATTAGAAGAAACTCCAGGACCTGAAATGGGTGTGTCAGATAAGGGAGACATACAAAATGTGCAGTGTTGGGGGGCGCCCAGGACCAGGGTTGAGAAACACTGACATAGCCCCTTCATTTTGTAGAAATGTTTCATTTAAATGTGTCTGAGACTTTTGTTTCTTTCTTCATCTAGATTGTCCATTATGTGCACATTCCTTTTGTTTGTCTGAGGTTACAGAATGTGCCATTTTCGAAGACACGTCTAAAAATAACAAGATTCCCAAGGTAAGTGTGCACAGATTATAAAGAAAGTTTCAAGTAAAATGGTACATTCATTCTGTCCCTAATCTTTTTGCAGAGGATGTTGGCAAATCATATAAAGAGCCGTTCACACAAAGAATGATAAATATAAAGATAACTATTACAGTAACTGTATTAGCATCTACACCAGGAACGCATGCTAATGTTCTGTTCATTATAAGCACGTGCTGCCGCTTTAACTGCCCAAGCTCTTTAAGGTCAAGTTGATTCTGATTGGCTGTCAATGTTTTTACCATTCATCAGCTGGGAAAAAAACAGTTTGAAAGTGATTGCAACAATATTGTTCCTCTTTGTCATCCTTTTTTCACAGAATTTGAATGTTTTTTTAAAACTTCATAGTTATCGTCCTTGATGTGAAGGCCCTTAAACTGGTCCAAAGAATTCCAGCACTGACATAAAGGAGGCATTTCCTCTCTGTCTTTCATTGTAAATCTTAATTAAAAATGTTGAATCAATCTTTTCAGTGTGCCGGGTGTGAAGAGAGTAAGGTTAGTGGATGGTGTGTCCAGTGCGAGGAGGCCCTGTGTTTGGACTGTACGTCTGCTCATCGTAGGGTAAAAGTGACCCGTGACCATGACGTCACACCCAAAAAACCACCCACAGGTTAGAGTCCCTAAGCACTTCACACTAACACTAAACCTGTATAATTGAAGTCAGACCACTTAGTTATCAAATCAAATTTATTTGTTTGAAATCATGATCCTGGGTAGTTTCTCTTACAACTAAAACATACCTTAGAGAGCTACAAAATAATTCAGCAAAATCATAAAAATGCATTTATCATTGAACAAAGGCTTTCAAAATAGATCGGATTGGATCAAAATGAACTTTTATTATCATAAAGCCTCCTACGTCATTTTATCATATATGTACACTTTCTGGTTGTTCACCATCCAATTTGGTCTTCCTCAACATCCCATAATATGATCACCTGACGTATGTACATATTTTTAATTGCAACATTTTATTTGACTCCCTAGACTCTTCACAGATTTACTACAGAACTACAGAAAGAGGCATTATATTATTATTATTTTTTTTTTACAGAATATGTAGATTAAATTTGTAACATCAGAGGGAGACAGAAAGAAAAAT